TTGGTATTTCCATTGCATGGGGTATCATGGCCTTGTGCAGAACACATCAGACTCCACTCTTCTTGCCTAAGGGCTCTGTTGACTTAAAGGGTATCTGTCAAAGCTGGGCTTTGTGGAAGCCTCATTTTATCACACAGTAAATACTACAGTGCTTTTGTGAAGGTCTGCTACCTTGAACTCACAAGGTATAACTCACTTCCCATTTCTTGCATGTATTGGAACTGGCGTCTTGCTCTTGCACAGAGCAGAGTCCTGACAGGGTGTTGATAAAAAGTAATGCCAGCATTAAAAATGAATGCGTTCTTAAAGGCTCAAATCTAAGTCAAATTAGAAACGACTTCTCTGGAGCACTTTCCCTCAGCAAAGCCTGCTATGACCAGCCACCTCAGAGACAGAGCTGTTCAAAAGCATTTTAAGTTATTGGCTTTTTTTGGGAGGTCACCTTTTTCTCATGGCAACAATGTGCTTCACGATGTGCTTCTTAAGAAATGAGCAGTATTCGTTTTGCTCGTATCTAATCCATGATCACTTCAAGCATGGAGATGGAAGACTTCAAACTAACATGTGAAAAATCTGAGAAAGCCCTAAAAACTGAAACTGGATACTCAGGATATAAATACCTAAGTTATTTTTACTGCGTATTCCACTAGTGCTCCAGATAGGCCAAAAATGATCATATTCCAGGCAGAACACGAAAACATAGAGGAGCATTTATGTATGTGTGCACGGCACCTCACCACGCAACGCCCAGGTTCTTTGACACAGTACAAGAGAGCAGAGAATAGGAGAACATAACAGAGTAAGAATGGGAAAAGAGACAAGCGCATACCATGGATAAGTCTTATCTGCTCTTCTCCCTTATGAGGAGTGGCCGGGAGCAGCAGGACTTGCCTAGGTCACCCCAGCTTGGAGACAACGCGCTGGCATTCGGCAGTTTGACTGTGCCCTCTGCTGTTAACAGGGAACAGAAAGGACTTACATGTCTGGGATATGGTTTCTAGGTGAGCCAAAATGGATTGGTTTCTCGAATCGAACATTTCTCCAAATTTGTCCAAGCATGCTTGCAGCTGCAAAATTGAGAAAATTAATACATTGCCCTTTCTTTGTTTGCAAAAACACAGCCCCAGAAGCCACAGAACAATGACTGCAGCTCGTGGAATGCAACAGCCTGAAAGTGGTTATTTATCTGTCGCTTGAAACGGTTTGTCCAGCTGTGGGTTGCAACCCCAAAGGAGATCTGGAATGGCTCAACAGGCTCAGGAAATGTTGCTGAAGTCTTAATAGATTTTGAAATAGAGATACTAATCTGTTAGAAAAGTATTAATAATAACATTTATCAAAATAATTATGGAAGTCTGTTCTAATTATGGAGCCTGTTCTTGCTCCCAAGACCCAGAGAAATTCCACTGCTGACACTGAGGCAAGGCCCTCAAGACCTTGACCCTGTGGACAGGGCACAAAGACAATGGTATATGCAAAAATAAAAGACAATTATTGGTTTAAAGTATTTGAGTGCTCAAGACAAATAGTGTAGTCATTTAAATATCAGCACAGAAAATGTGAGGAGGTGAATGTTGTGTAGCATTTCTAACTCTTCATTACTCTGCACTCTGAATCTGAATCAACTTACCCCTTGAAGCTTGTCTTTGATACTGGAAATAGAGGCGCTTAAAACCTCCCTAAAATGAAGAACAAACATAAAACATAGATGTAAATTACTGGAATAGACAGAAATTGTAAAGGTCACAGTGAACACGAGACATGAAACGCTGCAAGGCACAGCTTAGTGCGTAATGTAGTGCTTACTTCAGGGGGCATAACCCTTGAAGTCACCTTACTTCTTTTTAGAGAGCATGGATTCTGCTGTGTAAAGCAAGAAAAAAAAATACATGCACATATAGATATAATATACGTGAAATTATTATTATTTTAACTCTCCTGTTTTTGACCTAGCGTTGGTGCCTCTCTCAAAGGTTGTAGTTGGCATTAACACAAGTGTCCATTGCTGCTGGGGTGTCACCGCTGCGCTGTCTGCTCCGGAAGGACCCAGCCTTGGCGGAGGTGACGTGCCAGTTGCTGGGAGACACGGGTATTGTGTGTGGACTAAAATAACTGGGGGGAAAACATGGGAAAAGCTTCAGCATCAACAAAGCCCAAGCCAGGAAGAACAAATACTGCAAATCCTTTTCTCCGGAGATTACGCCTGTGGTTTCTGTTATCCGTCCTTTAAAGTGGAGGGAGCCTATCAGGAACCAGGCTATACTCATGATTATCAAACCAAAATGCAAGGGTGGTTGCTAAGCGAAGCGATAACCAGTTCCCTCTCTGAAGATTCGGCTCATTTTAAATCAGTCATTTAGGGATCCAAATGGCAACAACCGAAAAAGTGGAGGCCAGGCAGAAGCCAGTTAGGAGAATCAGGCAGGGCTTCTGAAGCCTTTCTAGCTTTATGGAAAGGAAGATATTCATTTTCTTAGTCAAACTTGCGGGGGATACAAATTGATAAATTATACGTTTATCTTTGTAAAGATAATGTAGCTATTGCTATAAACAGGCTTCTAATCTGGGAGTAAGTCTGGAGTGTAGGAAGGAGCATAATTCATTTAAAGAAGAAATAAAGGATAATTAAGAGTTCTGCCTAAACATTTAAAACTATTTGGTCATTTCGCATAATTCACTTACACAAAAATCATCCTCTTCTCTAATAGGCACTAGAGAGTCAAATTTTGCCTGATCAGAAGCATAGTGCCTATTGCAAAAGAGAAAGAGATCCATAGCCTGATTTGATCAGATAAGGCTTTGAATAAAGATGTGTTTCGCATTGGATGTGACATTACAAAATGTACAGCACTAAGAATTATTTATAGGTGCACCGGGGAGTTTTGTCATCTTTCATTTTTGAGCTTGAAATGGTGAGCTTGTTTCTTAAAGTCCTTTAGGATCTACATTTAATTCTTAACGTCTGACAAAGAGCAGATGCAAATTACGTGAGCAAATTACACCAAAACCAGAAGATATAAACCCCTTGTATACAAGTAAAAGTCTAGAGATACGTGCAGATTTATAAAGGTGCAATCGTTGCATCTTCCACTGCACTCAGGTGTGCCTGGCAATCTCCTTATCTGGCCTAAATGCGAAGGCCGTCCTCAAAGACCCTTTGATCAGTCCCAATGCAGTCTATACAATTTTGAGAAGTATTGGCTTTTACAGAGAAGCTATACAGAAAAAACCCTGCTGAGTAGATAAAGGACAAAGGTAAATTCAGGCTAGAGTTTTGTAGTTCTTTGTGGCTTACGGCTGAGTGCGTTACATAAATCACATTGCACATAAACCCTGTCCTCTTATCCTGTGACTCTTTCCAATCGGAGATTATTTAAAACCTGAAAAGATACTTCTCTTGGAGAAATATACAGCTATGTCATGTAGGACTTTTAGGAGGGGAAGAAGGAGTTGCAGGGAGTACAGGAAGAATTTCCAATGGGTGTCTACATACCGATCATATTTGTCCTTTATTTTGTTCTTATTCACTTCAAAATTTTCCAAGATACTTTTCACTCTTCCTGCACCAAAATGAAGCGAACCTTTTTCCCTTGTATCCTCATCGAATAACTGTGGTTTTGTCTGGTATTTGGTAAAAATGCTGGGCTCGCTCTGTCACACAAAAGAAAGAAAAATGTTGAAGTAGAAAAATAATCAGAACATTAATTAGAAAAAAAAAAAGTTGTGTACCAAGTGCTTTGCAGACAGAGATCACAGTGATTGGACGTGAGAGATTAGATTGGACCGGGAGATTAAGAATTTCATGAGATTATGGCTCGCTTAGTGTGCCAAGTCAGATTGACTCCCTGTGGGACTGGGACCCAGCCCAAATTCCTCCAGACTCCGGCTTTTCTCTCATCTCAAGGATTTTCAGTTAGTTGCAACCATCAGGTGTGTGATTTTTTTTCCCCTGTGTGCTGAACACAGAGACTATAAATGAATCCTGGTGTTCCTGGAGCTGTGGAACAGTTAAAGATGTCAGTGGGAGCTCCCTGAGCAGGAATCTAAAGAAAATCCTACTGAATGTCTTGCTGGATGACATTGCTTTGCTGCCAACAAGCAACATCAGCAGGCTGCAGATGAGTTTTTCACATGCTTCAATATACATTTCAGAACAAGAAATTTGATATTCATATGAAAGCTGTAAAGCCCCTTCATCATTCTACAAACTTTGGAGACACTGTGTGACCAAAATGGAAATGCTTTTCCCTTCAAACATGAGGAAATGCAAATTCCATTGAATTTCTTCTTTCATCGTGAATTTCCTCTTTTGTGTTTGATGAAAAGCTGCTGCAGTCAATGGACGAGATCCTTGGCAAAATGCAGAGCACAGCCGATAGGATCTGTGAGGGAAGGACAGCCTAGGGCCAGTGAGCTGGCACCACTGCTCCTTCCTAATCTTTGCTTTCGGGTGTCTCTATTCAGATCTTATGGTATCTGTTAATGGTACAGGAACTACTTTAGTGAGGCTGGTAATATCAAAAATCATGTGCTGGAGGAGAAAGATTTTGAGCATAGAAACTCTTAATCCAAAATCATTGAAGATTCTGCCATAACAACAATACAGCAAGGTAGTTTTCAGTCAATGGAAGAAAATACCAAATGCCTCTGTCATTCTCGCAGAAAACCAATGAAGAGAAACACGGTGTTTTTCAAAGAGGAATGAATGTAATATTCTACCTTAGCCAGGTGGTCTAAAGACTTTACCTTGAGAATAATCTTGTATTATTTTAGTAATTAAAAAAATGTGAATGATGAAAATAAGACATATCTCAATAACAATTTATAGGAATCTGTTATAAATAATAGGTTTTCCAATGACCAGTGCTACTTCATCTGGTCACAGTAAATACGTATACAGATCAAGAAGATAACTTGATTTCAGCAGTTACCAACATTTGTTACCACCTGATTTTAGCATTTTCCAGTAACTCTGACTGGTGGCTATGTGTGAGACTCACATCCTGGGAGTTGTGCTGTCCCAGCTGCGTGCCCAGCTCCAGCGGCGCTGCTGCCGACTGCACATTCTCCGGGCAGAACTGGGAGCCGAAGAGAAGCTGAGAATCGCTCAGGCTGGAGTAGTCGCTGGGAGCGCTGCTCCGGATGGAAAACTTGTTGGACCTGAAACGAGCAGAGCAGGTTGTGAATGAGCCTGGAGCAATTAAAAAGCCAAACAGGAATCCCTACACAGCCTGTTGGAACCAGTCAAGCATGGCCCACCTCAACACATTCATCTTCACTCTCTGCTTGGAGCGTGGTGTCACAATACCTGGATAAAGTTTAACAGCGTGTGGTACTAGCAAGTACTGGGTCTTTCCCTTTTCACTGCTCTGGATAATAAATCCTATTGTAGCTCAGATGCTGCTCGGCTCATTTGGAAGGCAGTTCCAGCAGAGTGAACCTTTCTGACTGATAGTTGACATTTCTTGGGCATTTATTCTCCAGACGCCTTAAGCCTGACACCTTGGGACAACAAATAAATAGGTAGCATATGGCTAGACAAATTGATCTGAACTGTTAGAAATATTTCCAACCTAGTAATATGCCACTCAGAAGTTCTCTCCTTTCCCCTGAGTACTGCCCAAATAAACCTTTTCCTGCTGGCCTTGGCTTTGTGCTGCGTTGCTCTGATTCTGCTCCTCTTCAGGGCCAAGGCTTCTGTGCTTTATGCACGAGCCTCGTGGCACGGCACCAGCTTTTCTCCAGACAAGGGTTTCCCTGCACAGCTGCACCACTTCTTATCATGTTGGAAGCTTCAATTTTTTGCTAGCAAAGATACAGACTTCTTTCACTTTTCACGTGATCGATATTCCACTGCTCCACATTCACGGGGTCTAATGGAGTGCTTAGGTTAGATCCAAACATAGGAAAAGCTGGGCCACGTTTATACTCTCAGTTCTGGCTGGTTTTAAGCTACCAAAATGGAGACAGATTGATGCTGCCTTTGGAACTGGGAATTACAGACAAAAAAATACGCAGGTTTTTCCTTCCGTATCAAATCATGTAAGTACAGGAGAAGGAATAGGAAACTAATTCACGTGTACAACAAAAGATGATCGCTCCAACATTTATTAGCAGTGACGTGCTTGGTTAATCCCCAGTTTTGGAAGGAGCCCAAACATCACACACACAACAGGGAAGGGATTTAGCAGCAGTACTTGAACTGTTCAGTCTCCCTTTTCATTATATAGCGGTGTCAGTGACAATATCGTATTAATACTTTTGGCTTTGAGCTCCCCGGGTCCCTACTGACCCGCGGGCAAAAATAGATGAGGTCTGGGTTTCTGGATTCTCAAAAAGCCTGATAAATCTGTCTGCATTCAAAACTTCTCCCTTGATCTGTTTCGGGAACCTAGCTCTACTAAGAAAGAAATCTGAAAACAACTTTATTGCCACAGCTTCTTGTTTCCATCTCAACTAAGCTTGGTAGAAAAAATAAATAAAAAATTAAATTCTTAATCTACAGCGAATCAGGTAGAGATGTGAGCACATGGGCTGCCATGACCCCACATGGGCAGAACCCTTGCTTGCAATGTGACTATCGCATCTCCTGTACCAGTTTTCTAAATCCTCCCGTCTTCTAGCCAAAAAAAGCTCTCTCTTAGTTTAAGGAAGGGTTTTTATAGTTTCCCAGTGCTTTACTGTCCTGTCAAACCCCCTCTGAATATGTCTGGTACAACTGGGCAATATCACATCCCACTGCCTGCTCGTTTTCTCAGTCCCTTCACATTACTTAATGCCCGAAGTACAAATTCCTATAACCAAGAGTGGCATCACCAGCATTTTGAGGAGTAATGAGCTGAGAGGACTCGATGAACCAAGTGACTTCCCAGGCTCCCTCTGCACTGACACCACGACCAAAGGCGGCTGTCAGCTGCTTGGGAGCCTCATTTTTCTGTCTTAAGTCCACTCAGTGGTTGGTTTAGGAGTGATGGCCCTTCTGCAAAGTAGGGAGGGAGACAAAACAGACGTCTCCTTTGAATACACTCGTTCCCCTGAGCAACACATTTCTTTCTCCCTTGCTTAACACCGGCAGCAATTAATTTACTAACGAGACCATCTGGGCAAGGTATCAGCCTGGCCACACTTGGGTGGTGAGATCAGACAACCGTGATCAGCTCTGTGACCAGATCCATCATCAGGCAAGCACAGCTCTGCAAACCACTCGATCACTCCAGGATGCCTGAGCTGCAGGGGTGCATGCTCCATCCTAAATATAAACCCTTATATACAGCAAGAAAACCTCCTAGATATTTAATCCTGGTTAGAAGTCCCTCCTAGGTGATGCGATAGCTTACCTTAGGAGAAGTTTTAGCTTTCTTTTTTAGCTTTTAGTTTTAGCCATTCCCCGAATCCTCCATGCATCTGTGCCCACAATGTTCCTATAGTACTGGCACTAGCATGTGTGTCCAAAGCATAAAACAGCTTTAGATGTGTAAGACAAGTTCTTATCAGCTCCAAAAAAAGGCTAAACCATCCCCTGCTGACCAATGGAGCAGTTTCTTTTTCCCACCTAACTTTATCCAAGGTATTGCAATATTGGCAACCTTGACCCTTTCCATAATATGAACATGATCTAAAAAAAATCAGCCCTCTGCATATCAGGGGAGTCAGGTGGATCTTTGCAGCCTCAGTTTCCCTGTTGTCAGTGGGAATCCCCCCTCCACAGGAGAAGTTACATCTTTAGGGACCCTTTTTCATTTTTCAAAGTTCCAGTTTCCACTTCCAAGTACTTTAGCACAAGCGTATGCACATTTTCACCTTTCCTTCAAAGGTTCTTCTGCCTTGCCCCCAAACGGCTGTCAGATACAACTACCCAAGAGAAACACAGCATGCAATAAATACCCTCTTCTTGTGCTTCCCAGATATTTCTAGGGCCATTGACAAGCTAAAAATCCGTAAGCATAAACTGTCATAGGCCTTATCAGTCTTTTTTTAAAAATGGGCAATTTTCACTCTGTTGTTTGGATCCATCTTTAAGCGCCAACCCCAAGGTCTGAGAGTCGTTCGGAAAAGCAAGCCGAGTCTTCTGCGATTTGCGAAATAACATTTACCCAACGGTGCTGCCGTAAAGGATTTTATTTGGTTCTGTCATCCCCGCTGAACCTGTGCCAAAATCCCTCTTCTTCCCAAGCGCCGCGGGTGAAGCTCACTGACGCCTTTCTGACACATTTCTTCAAAGTGCAGCAAAGCCCCTTTCCCACAGAAGAGATCTTTTTCTCCTGGTAGTAATCCTGAGTTGGGTCAGTACCATAAAGTTCCTCTTCTCCTGATTCCCCTCCAGAAAATCTTCCAGCCCTTTCTGCTTCTCCTCATTTAGTGACCAGGGCCGCATCTCAACAAATCCAACTGTAATTCTGGGAGCTGCTCTCACCTGCTCTTTCTCCTGGCTTTAGTCTGTATCTATAGGAGCTGGCTCTGGCTCTGCTATGCTGCTCTCGTTGTCACTATTTGCTGCCTGCAAATGTGTTTGGCAAATAAGCAAGGATCAGCATTGGCTTTGGGTGCAGAGGAACTTCAGCATCCAGGAGCCTGGAGGAGTTGAAGTCAAGGAGTTTTCGCTCCTATTGCCGTTTCCAGCCATTTGCCATCTCTTCACTGGGAATAGCCACAGCATAAAATCAATGTTCTGCTTTCCGTCCCCTGGAACGGCATGACCTGCTCACTGCAAATCATGTGTGCCATATCCCAACAGGAATTCCTACAGACAGATTTTGGCATTTGCCCTAATGCATTAACCACCACGAAATCCCTCTCGGTTATTCAGCTTCAACACTGCCTCCAGTTTCCAGGTTTCAGGCTCAAAGTTCCTCGGGTCTTGTTTTAATTCCTCAAGGTCGTTTTTACTTTCTATGAGCCCACTCCATTATTCATTTGGCTGTGATTCAATGCTGCCCAGACATTCCTCACCTTGGAAACCGCATTAGCCCTTTGTCCTGAGCCAGCTGCTGGGTCACAGGGGCTTGGTAAAGCCTTTTTCCTTAGGAGGAGACTGGGATTTCACACAGAGTCACAGAATATTAGGAGTTGGAGGGGACCTTGAAAGATCATCCAGTCCAACCCCACTGCCAGAGCACAGTGCGGCCCTGTTTATTTACACAAAACACATCCTGGACCATATTAAGAATTAAACATCTGGAGACAGAGGTTTTTTGCCCCTCCAGTCTGGAGCCACCTTCCAGCCCTGGTTTCTCATTCCTCCAAGGCTCGGGATTTTTACAGCTTTGTCCTGGCAGTCTCCTTCATTTTCTGCTTATTTTGGGACCTTAAGGTGACTGCAAAATATGTGGCTCTGCTATATGGGATGGAATTTCATGGGATAATGGATTGGGTGAGGTTGTTAAATCTGGAAGTTTTTTCTCAACAGCAGAAATAAACCATAGAGAGTAATGGCTCCAGTGGGCCTTAACTTACAACGTCTTTTCTGAATGCCTCTAATATTTTCATCATATATTGGCTTTATGTGCTCTCTGGCAGGCCTTCTGCTTCTGATGTCTTTGGAAGCAGGTCTATTAGTAGCTTTAACGCCTTTAGCAAGTTACTGCTTTTCTCGTGGAACAAGAAAATTCCCATAACTTCCATTTAAAATCATAATATATTGGTTTCTATTTTTTCTACTTTTTACTGTCTGTCATTTCTTGAAGGATATCTTATTATTTTCAGTAGCTGTCTTTACCATGCCAGTCTGGTATTGGTCCTTCTCGCCTCTGATCCAATATCTGCTGCACATTTGTTCTGAGCTTCTGTGTGAGGTCTGAATAACCTCCATGCCTCGGGCAAGCGTTTAACCCTTTTCACCATCCAGTTTAATTTCTTTTTAACAAGTTTCCTTATTGCTACGTCAGTGCTTTTTTTTTTTTTTAATTAACCAGCAGTGGATTTTTTGGCTCCAGTTGCTCCTGCAGCGATGTTGACTCCACTCTCACGGTAGCTCTACCAGAGCAATATCCCAACTGAGGGTCTTGTGTTCGGCTCAGGAACAACACAAGAGGTGTCTCTTCCCCCAGGAACTCCCTGGCCAAGGCAGGTTCATGGTGTTTGTAAATGTGCTTTCAGCATCGCGCCCCGGTGACACTTACCCTGTCGATGAAAGGCTGATAGAAGCATCGCTGCCTTTGCAG